TATGTTCTCTTTTTGCCTTAGAGGGGTGAATTTGTCCAAAAATTAAGTGGTACAACTTGGACTCAATTGTTTGACTTTGGAGTCTATGAGTTCAATGTTAGGAGGAGGAAAATACAGGAAATTAATTCGTAATGAGGTAAATGCCAAACCGTGGCATTTCAGTCTTGCTGAAGTGCCATCAGCCTCATTGTCTGCATCTCATTTCTTCTCCTAGAGCCTTTGTAGAGGCATTGTGTGGGCCATCTTTCCAGATAACAGAAACAGAAGGACCAAGCAAACTGTTCTAAATCAGACCTGTAGCAGAAACAGGAATTAAGCTCAGACTTCCTCCAATTATGTAAGCTGCAGCCTTCCCATTATGCTGAGACATTTCCTGTGGTGCCTGGCATCTGATAGGCTTTCCCTGTGTGATTACTTTTTTAAAAAATTAATTTTATTGAGAAAGAAATAGCAATGAAACAGTTTCAAAACAGGTTAGTAGGCTGAGGAAAGTGATTGATGATATAGAGTGTGCCTAAGGAGAGTCACCTAGAGAGAAAACATTCTCTCAGGCTTTGACAAAGAGCAAATTGGTCAAGCAATGGCCGCGACTCATCCACGTGGCTGACACTGACGAAAGATCTACAAACTGCTGTAGATCATTTCAGGGTAAATCCTGAGGGGATTTGACTGACCTTGTCAGATACAAAAGTTACATTTCTTGTTATACAGGTCTTGCTTTACCTTGGTCTTAACCATCCAGCAGAAGAGTATCAACACGAGGTATAAAAAGTAAAACCATATTAATATGCTAAACAGTAAAAAGCTCAAGTCAACAACTTCTGACATTGTTAGTCCTGTGGATAACGGACTACTATAATGGGCTACTGGACTATATTGGATTATTTTGCTGAATCCACGTACCTATGTGATTATTGACTCAAATGCATTTCCTAAGTTGCTAGGAGATTTTGAAGTTTGTATACATACTTTAAAAAATTTAAATATTAAAAGAGTTATACTTCTAAAGAAAAAAAATTTCACCTAAATGGATGAATTTTATTGTATAATAAATTACATGTACTTGTGGGGTGTTTGGGAATACCCAAAAAGTTCTTCATAGATCAGCGTATATTTTCTGGTAGAAACAATGTTTTTACTATAAAAGTCCCTAGAAGAGACAGCTTCCTGGGGAACAACCCACTTGGGCTCCCCTCCTGTCCCTCTCTTGGATAGGCGCTTTCTTCCTTTCAATAAGTATATTCTGCTCATAAAAAAAGAAACAGTGTTTTAAGTGATTGTACTAATACCCAAAGCAAGCAAGCAAGCAAACAAGCAAATAATACCTTAGCAAAGGGATGGTAATATAGTATGTAAAAAATCGTGATATTGTCTTACTTCCAGCTAGTGTTGCTGGGCTGACAGGCCCACAGGGTGGATCTCTGTCTTGTTTTTTTTTTTTTTTTTTTAATTTTCTTTTTTTAATAGATTACAAATTGAAAATGAATTATTTACAAACATAATTGAATATAGCAATAAAAACTGTTCAAAATAAAAATGAAGAATTTACAGATCAGTCATAATAGTTCACTGTGTCAAAACCAAGAAACTTATAGTCATCTAATGAGAATTCTCAGAGTACTCTGTCTTGTTTCGAGGGCCATTTTCCCTGCTTTAGAAGCCCCTGGACTTGGTGCTAAAATTCTGGCTCCTGGATGCATCGCAGGTACAGACGCTGTGGCACGTGGGACCTGCGCCTCAAGCGTTGCCGCTACCGCGTGCTGGGTTGGCCACTTCTTGCTCTAGGAAAGCGGTCTCCCCTCCTAGGGTTCACATCAGAAGGCAGTCTAGGGGATAAAGAGAAAAATGCTAGAACTTTCTTTTTATATTTTATCTCATTTAAATTTTGCTATTTATTTCACAGTGTCTGTGATATATTGAAACAATAATACGTGCATCTGTGTATTAACAAAAATGTATGTATATTGGTGGCCCATGGTTACTGTGTGTGTGTGTGTGTGTGTGTGTGTGTGTGTGTGTGTGTCCAGCTCAGCCTGCCCTGGGGGCGGGGCTGTTATTGCTGGTGGTGCTGGCAATTGAACCGTGGTCCCTGCGCTTTGCCTAAGCCTGCCTGAGCAGGCGCTTTAGACC